CCATATCTCAAATAAAAGCTGAATAAAGCATGCTACATTTGCATATCTACACTAGGCCTAAAGCACACATGCCAGATAACTATTGGGGGCCTTTATTCTTTATTTGGCTACCTGTAATATACTCTTTCTTCCATTGACTAGCAAGAAGGGAAGCTTCTCCAAGCCTTTGCTCATGACACACAACACTCTATTCTGTTTTAACCAAGCAAAAGGTTTGTTTTAATCTGTGTAAAAATAAAATACAGTTTTTACAACATTATTGACAGATATTGTTTTGTGCCTAGATATTGCAGATCGATACTGATAACCACCAGGCAAAGACTGAATTTAGAATTACACTATAACATTATTTAGAACACTGACAGCTTTAGTAAAATGTGTCACTTTGTCTAATTAGCAAAACTACCTGTACAGCTAAACATTATTTTCCTTGTGTATATTGCTTTAAGCAGAAATACTAATTTGGCTGATTGCTATCCTTTCTTTTTTTTCCCTGTATGTATGGCATTGTATTATAACCATGTTATGACTGTTCTGAAATATTCTTTTATGTCTCTTGCAAAAACATTTTTTCTCTAGAGGAAATTTGTTCATTTACTTCTGAGGATACTCTTAGGTATCAAATATCCCTATTATGCTTATTCTGCCTTCCTATCTTTCCAGATGTATTAAAATGAGAAACATGAAACAGCTAATAGCTTTTTTGTTTCTACTTAAACTGCCCATAGCTGTTCCATTCGACCCATCAAATTAAAGACATCTACTTGCTATAAAGTATCTTATGCATAGTTGATATTATACAGTATCATTGTACCATTTTTATACTAACTGGCCTATTGCATCTGTATCCTGAAATTACATTTTACTAAAATATCCTTAATTTGAGGCTCCATGCACACTGGGCGTTTCAATAATGAAGGTAGCATTAGCTGTGTAAAGTCACGTTAAAAACATGATTTTTTTCATCATTTTTGCATTAGCGTTTAGACACGTTTTGACGCGTTTTTCTGTGTTTGCGGTTTTTAGCCCCAAAAAATGTTTTTGTTCAAAAGAAGTCCAAAAATGCTGGTTTGCCACAGTTTTTACTGCGTTTTTCAGTGTTAGAGCGTTTTTACAGCTAAAAAACACCTCTGGAAACCCACTAGTTCTGGGGTTTTATTCCAGCCAAAACATGCCCTTGCAAAAAAATTCTGATTACAGTCTATGTGTGCATGAGCACATAGGATAACATGCTGGGGAGTTTCCTGGCTGTAGAAAAAATGACAAAAACCAAAAAGAGCAGCTGTAAAAACATCCAGTGTGCATCAGGACTTAGAGTTCAGTCCCTTACTAAAGATGATGGTATTGTGAAATGGTAATATTCATTGATAAGTGAATGTTGATTAAGCAGGCAGGTAGAGCTTGACTGAACTGCTTGCCAGTCACTTCCATGTGTTAGGCCCCTTTCATATGGCTATGCTTTTGCTGCACTAAAACATAGCTGTAAAGTGCACCAAAACACAATAAAAATTTCCCTCAAAATCCTATAGAACTCTTCACATCAGTGTGTTGCCAATGTGGTACATTTTTAAAAAATCCTGCATGCTGCATCTTTGGTGCCCTGTTTCAAAAACCCATCAAAATGCAGCTCAAATGGATTTCTTTAGTAAACGCACAAAAAAAGCTTTAAAAACACACATACGGAGAATTTCTGTTGCGTTTTTAAGTCACGTGTCAAAGTTTCACATGGAGTGGGAGCCAGGAATCCAGAAAATTCCCCAAAAACCCATAAAAACATGTTAAAAACATTTTTGCAAAATTCAGACTGTTGTATATTGTCTTAGAGGGGAGATTCTGCTCTCACCAATGTTCTGGAAGACTGCAGATCACTGAGCATCCTTGATGATCTATGATCATTGAATGAAAGAAATAATAGAAGAGTGCAACTTATATATGACAAGGTACACAGCCATGGGGAAGGGTCACCTGATCATGACACAAGTTTCTATTAGCAAATAATAAAGTATATTTACAACATAATGACAATATAAGGCCATGTGCCACACCATCTGTAGAAATTTAAGGGGCGTCTACAAATGTAAGAGAATCTCTGTACAAAGTTAATTCAAATAGCCAAAATCCCTTTTGAATGCTGAATATAGTTGCTTTGAATAGAATAGAATAGAATGGAATGGTGCCATATGATAGGAGCCTATTTAGGAAAATACAGGATACCCACAGTGTGCTGTGCCATCACTTAGTCTATCTCATCAATTCTAAAATAAATAATGTCAAATATTTACTTGGTTGTGCTTACAAATTTTACTAAGTAAAAGGTGCAAGGTAAAGCTATGCAAAGTTAAATGGATGTTAATGTAGCTAATGGACAAATTCTGAATTAAATTTTAAAAAAAGTTAGCCCCTATTTTTTTTATGGTGTACACCATAACTTGTATTGCAAACTACTAATATAAAAAAGTAGTGGCAGACTAATTTTTAAAGTGGAACACCAGCCAAACATGTCTATCGCTTTCATGATGTAGAATACACTAAGTATTGGTAAGGCCACTAGATAAAAAGATATTTGGGATAACATACCCATTGCATCTTAGGTGGGCAAAATGTGAAGCACTTTACATGCAAAGGGCTTGGGGTACCAGGAATATTCACAGAAGCTCTCTCAAGCAGGGGCGGACTGACAACTCATGGGGCCCCCGGGCAATAGGGGATCATGGGGCCCCTGTGTCCTCACCCAAACTCAAAAAAGCCTATGAAAAAGGTACCAGGGGCATCTCATGGGGCCCCCTACTGACCCCGGGCCCTCGGCCAGTGCCCGAGTTTCCAAATGATCAGTCCGCCCCTGCTCTCAAGTCTATCCAAAAAGTGAGAAAAAGCTGGATTTGCATGGAACATTTATAAAACTGGTAATTACTATGTAGGATTATTTTATACTCACTTATGGCTTCAGTCACACCAGTATGCAGAGATATTGGTTTTTCTGCATGCGTTCTACAAGGATAGTAAGAAAACAATTGTCCCCTATGTGCCCTGTTCACATTGGTATCACATGATGAGTTTTTTCTGTGCAGATATGCAGCGCATATAAAACTCACTGAAATGAGCATAAAAACTGATGTAAACTGATGTCTCTGTAAGTGAAATCTGTGTGTTTTTGCCATCTGTTTTTCCACACGTATGGTGTGAATGAGGCCCAAGGGCCTGATATACCCCATAGAGGGAATGCAGTGTTTTAGCTTAGGAAAAGAAAAGGGGGAATTAATAGGGCCCCCCCTTTTGTTATGGGACTGTGGCGGGAAAATAAGGTTTCAAGTCCCCCCACTGTATAAATACAGTGGGGGAACATTCTAGAAGGTCAGAAGGATTTGTAGTCCCCCACACTGGCATGAGGAAGAGAAAAACCCGTTAAAGTTTCACGTTCCCACATGATATACCAATATAATGGGGAAACTTCTAGAAAATAGGAGTTTTAAGCTCCCCACTACACCTGGACAGTTTTAAGCCACCCCCAGGGTATATTATATAAAGGGGAAGATTCTAGAAATTGGGAGTTTTTAGCCCCTCACTACACCTGGACATTCCTGGAAGAAAAAAAGCAACCAATAGGGAGAAGAATTGGAGAGAGGTAAGGGCTATAAAAGGGGGATCCATTAATGGAAAAAACAGAAACCTGGGAGGCATCTCTGTGGTGCTACCTCCCACCCGACCTTTTCGTCACGGGCCAATTACTATTGGTAAGTATCATATTTAATGATGGTAAAATACGTCAGTACATAAATTGAAACCAGTTGTATGGTTAATGGGTATGGTTGATAAGTGTTGTGTTCATAAGTACAGCTTAAGTCGTAGTGACTAAGCTGGGGTTTTTTTTGAGCTTTACAATTATTAGTAAGCTAATATGTTAAAATAAAGTGTTATTATAAAGAATAATATTTAAACCAATAATAAAATGGCCACAGCCAAGTTAGCACCAAAACAATAAGAGTTGTGGTCTTTTATTGTATAAAATAAAGAATACTGCCTACAGTCCCATAGCTCAAGGTGTCAGTGAGCATTATTAACTGCAGTCACAGGTCAACTATCTTTATGTATGATTCTTCTACATGCTGACATACATAGTATGGTTTTTAAAGGCTACTGTTAAAGTGTATGTAAAGCCAAATTGTTTTGATTCTTTCTGTAAAAATGTGGGAGTGTTAGAACCTCTGTTAAGATTTTAATGTTGTGGAGAGCAGTAAGGGTGCCACATCAATGGAAATAGCATCCAGACTAATCTACTATTGCAAGATCAACAAGATAGGCAAGGCAACACATTTTAAGGATTTATAAACTCCCTCTTGATAGGGGCTATGATACAAATAAAGAAAATGTACATATACATTTACAGTATATCCAAATTCTTGAGGGGAAAAATGAATATATATTAACCTCCCTGGCGGTATGATTATTTCAGATTTTTGGTGCTGAAAGCGGTACCATTTTTTTGCATGGAAATATGTTTTTTTTTTTATTGTAGGGCTGTAATTTTTAGGAATAACTCACTGAAATCTGTCCGAACAAGAGTCTAGTAAACATCCCGGGTATGTTAAAATTTGAAACACTAAATCATAAATTATAATTTAATAAATAATCATAAAAATAATAATATAATAATAATAAATTTAATTTAATAATATAATCAAACCAAAAACACTTAAATTTGAAATAGAGAGCCAAGTTCGCACATCGCTGAGCAAAGTCGCAAAATCGTTTTCATTGTTTGATGACGAATTTCCCCACAAATCATTATCACTCAATTCTGCAAGTGGTTCTGATTTACTATCGCTGTTCTCTAGCTGGTCTAAAACCGCTTTTGACCTAAAGGGAGGCTTTTTGGACGCCATGGACATTTCTCAGTTTCCAGGCAATAAGAACAGTAAAAATGCAGACAGGGCACAGGACAAAGCACTCGGGACAAAATGTATGTGAAATGGTTTGATACAGTAATGTTTTACTATGTGATTTTAGTGATTTTAGTGAATGTTACTTTTGTTGTCATTTTTGTGAATTTCTCGCCGTTCCGTCCCCCGTACGTCCCGACGCTCACAGGGGACGGAACCCAGATGACAGATGCCGGCATCCGCCGGATTACATTGTCGGGGACACTGCAGGAGGGACATCGTGGGAGCGCAGGACAAGGTAAGTGATACAGGGATCGTGGAGCAGCGCCGCATGGTATTCCCGAGTGTAGCTCGGGGTTACCGCTTGTGGTACTGAAACCTTCCCCCGAGCTACACTCGGGAATACCGCCAGGGAGGTTAAAGTCTACAAGAAACAAAAACTGTCTATTTCCAATAAAGAGTTACTAAGCCCAGGACCCTGCATTCACTATATCTGGTCTCCCACAGTACACAGAACATGGAAATTCAATTATGTTAGTAAATATAAACAGGTTAATTCCTTTTCTCATTGGCTTGTGACTTCTATCAATGTTCAGCAGAGCACTGGTTAAAGCTTGTAAGAGAAGTTTTCATTTGCCCCTGATTGTCCTATGAGGCTGCAGGACCCCTGACCCTCTGTCTGGACAGTGCTGATTGGCCCTGTGCTGATCACATGCACGACTCCCAAGAAAAATAAAAAAAACTCTTTATCAATACACACCAAACTGAGCATGTGCAGCTTGCCCAGGGCTCTGTTCTATTAGCAGATGGACTAGGGACTGTGAAAGAATGAGAGGATTAGGGAAAATAGGATTAAACATCCTTTTTACACAAAGCAGAGGATGAGTGACAGTGAGTATAACAAGAATGCTTTACTGTATATACAGACTGATTTTACTGTTGTGGGTTTAGTAAAACTTTAAGTGCAGTTGTTTGTTCATAAGAGTGAAGAAGGACACACTTAATCAGACACTTCAGTATTCATGAATATCACACAGTAAAAAAAAAATGTATATTCATAACACTGGTGTATACTCTCCAGTGCTCCAGGAATCAATTGCCATAGGAAGGCCAGGGGACCAAAGCTAGTGGTGGCCTATGGATAACGTGTCGGGGATGCAGCCCTCCTCAGATGGGAAAAATCAACAACTGGAAAAGAGCAAACAGGTGGCGCAAACACACAGTTTATTAAAAAAATGTATAAAACACAAAAACCATACTCACAAACGTAGTATGTATAAATGCTTTGTCCCTTGTTAAGCTCTGAGCAAAGGGACTTGTCCCCGAAACACGTCAGCAACCCGACTGCACTGACAGTTGAACATCTTGCCCCATGTTGTGGCCATCTCCATTGTTATACAAAGCTTTTATACATGCTTCATTTGTGAGTATGTTTTTGTGTTGTACACATTTTTTTAATAAACCGTGGATAATGCACTAGATGTTTGCACCACCTGTTTGCTCTTATACTCGTAACATTGGCCTATTACCATAAACAATAGTGAAAATAAATAAATATTATTAATAATAACAATATATATATATTATATATATTTATATCATCATTATGCTAAAAAATAAATAGGATGTAGTATATATCTGAGTAATAACTTATACTTGCATAAAAACATCTGCATAAGAAAAAACATATGTTCACAATATGTATCATATGCATAATTGTGAGCAATATAGTAACTCAATCAATAAATGAATGAATACATACATACCTATATCACTCATGGTGTGAGTGTTTTGTATTGAAATAACCTGAACAACGTAGGTAATGAACAACATAGGTAACTGAAAGGGGGAAATACATTGGGGTTTATTTACTGAAATTGGAGAGTGTGAAATTCGGTGCAGCTCTGGATAGAAACCAATCAGCTTCCAGTTTTTTTTGTCAAAGCCTAATTGTATAAACTGAAGTTAGAAGCTGATTGGCTATCATGCACAACTGCACCAGTTTTTGCACTCTCTATTTTTAGTAAGTCAACCCCATTACATGACAAGTTCTTTAGGAATGCCTAGATTTAGAATGGTTTGAAAGTGTTTGCCTGTAAGTGGTTAAAAAAATAATTTTAATCAATATGTAAATCATGATTAAATTAAAGGATGATGTGGGATTTAGGTTATTAACCTCTTGCCGACCGCGCATAAGCCGAATGACGGCTTCACCGCGGCCGGCCAGTTTCTGAGTGGACGTCATATGACGTCCTCTCCAGAACGCATGCTCTCTGCGCGCCCCAGGGGGCGCGCACCCGGCGATCTCCGTGATCGCTGTGTCCTACGGACACAGCTGATCACGGGATGTGGTTGAAAGGACGATCCCACCGGCCTTTTTACCACGTGATCTAGCGGTGTCCAATGACACGCTGATCACAGGGAAAGGCAAGTGCCGGTTCTCGGCTGCACTTTCCTCACGCTGTCAGATCGTGAGGAAAGTACTGCCGAGAACCGGCAGTTGTCAGAGCGAGGATCGGCACCGATCATCAGGGCTCTGATGATCAGTGCACCTGATGATCGGTGCCCAGCAGTGACACCCGCAAGAGTTGCGCCCACTAGCCCCCGCCCCCCGTTCCCAGCAGTGCCCCCCCACCTGTGCCCAGCAGTGCCCCCCACCTGTGCCCAGCAGTGCACCCACCTGTGCCCAACTCTGCAGTGCCACCTACCTGTGCCCAGAAGTGCCAACCTACATGTGCCCAGCATGCCACCCACCTGTGCCCACCCACCTGTGCCCACCAGTGCCACCCACACTGTGCCCACCAGTGCCACCCACCTGTGCCCACCCACCAGTGCTGCCCACCAGTGCCACCCACCAGTGCAGCCCAGCAGTGCTGCCAGTCAGTGCCAAGTGTCCAGTCAGTGCCCAGGGGTTGTGCCAGTAGTGCCGCCAGTCATTGCCCAGAAGTGATGCCAGTCAGTGCCGTCTATCAGTACCCATCATCAGTGTCACCTATCAGTGCCGCCTATCAGTGCTGCATATCAGTGCCGCCTATCCATGACCCCTAATTAGTGCTGTCTATTCAGTGCCGCCTATCCGTGCCACCGTCACTTGATTAGTACTGCCTATCAGTGCCCTTTAGTGCTGCCTATCAGTGCCCATCAGTGCCCATCAGTGCCGCCCATCAACGCAAATCAGTGAAGGAGAAAAAATACCTGTTTGAAAAATTTTATAAAAAGAAACAAATAAACTTTTTTTTTTTTTCAAATTTTTTGCAATTTTTAATTTATAGCGCAAAAAGTAAAGCGCCAGTGGCGATTAAATACCACCAAAAGAAAGCTCTATTTGTGAGAAAAAAATAATCAAAATTTCATATGGGTACAATGTTGCATGACCGCACAATTGTCAATCAAAGTGCGGCAGCGCTGAAAGCTGAAAATTGGCTTGGTAAGGAAGGGGGTATATAAGTGCCTGCTAGGCAAGTGGTTAATGTTGTTTTTGCCTCAAATGGCAGACTCATACTCACTATTCTAGTGAACTGTCCTTCGATGCCAGATGGTTATGGTGGGAAATCCAATAATTTTTGAATTGTCACAGGAATGGAAGGTGAGCGGAAATCTTCTAAAGGACAACTGATTTTCCTTAAGTTTGAAGAGCTCTCCTCTTACTTCCTGACATGTCTCTGGGACAGAAGGTGAAGAGATATCTCTCCAATGAGACACAAACACCAAATAAAAACTGGCAGGGGTCTTAACCAGATCGTACTCTATTCAAAAGTAAAAAAAATAAAGGAAAACATTTTTTTTTACTTTTTGCTATAAAACATATCCAATAGAAAAATTAAAAAATCAAATTTCTTCATAAATTACAAATATATTCAGTATATAATATATACTCCAAAATATATTCTGCCACGTCTTTGCTAAAAAAAACCCCCAATAATTGTCTATTGAATTTGTTTACGTGAAAGTATAGTGTCTACAAATGGCAGTATGTATACTGTAATTTTTGTTATAAATTTTTTTTATACTAGTAATGACGGCGATCAGTGACTTATAGTGGGACTGCGGCGGGCATTCTGACACTGGGTGGGAACTGCCTAACTGCCACTGACACAAATACAGTGATCAGTGCTAATAAAAAGCACTGACACTGTACTAATGACACTGGGCAAGAATGAGTTAACATCTAGGGCTATAAAAGGGTCAACAATTTGCTGTGTGTGTTTTACATTGTGTGCTGTTTTACTTGGGAGACATGCTGCTTTGTATCAGAGAGATACAAAGCTGCATGTCCATGCTGACAGGAGAAAGACATTTATTGTTGACAAATAGAAAAAGGAGTATAACGAGCGCTGGACAGTTTTAGAGCGAATATAAAAGCAGCTGGCATGAAAGGCAAGCCTCCAAAACGCCTCGTGGTGGACAATCATATACAAAAACATGCAGCGCTAGAGTGAATGGATCTATCTCATGATACGGAGTGACCACTTAATGAGATATAAACGCAGCTACCATAATAGTCTTAATATCATTATATCATTCTCATAGTTAAGAAGGTGTAAATGGTGATAAAGGTGTCAAAGTCAATCTATCATAGGAGTGACGTAAATCTGTGACATCTGTGGTAGGAAATGTGGCTGTAGAATGCACTAACCAGATAGCGCAAATAAAAGCGCATTGGAGTAAAATGACCTACTCCTGGTCACTGGATCAGGGGACCTGCCGGAATGGTGGTCGTCTCTACTGTGGTCACCAGAGTCATCCGTGTCCTCTCCAGTTATGGAATTCCCAGGTATCCAGTGGAATAAACGCTCATCCGGTATGCAGTAGAATCCTTGTGTCAGCGACCTCCAGGGGAGATGCTACTTGACCCACAACCACTACCCACATGGTCCACACCTTGACACGGGCGGCCATCTTTGGAAGTGTATATTGCACCATGTAAGTTCGTTTTTTGTCTACTACTCCATAATAAAAGTTATCACACTATCGGAAGCCTCTTTTTGGGTTTATTTCTGAGCCCTGAAGGTGATTCCTGGTCCTTGAGCGGACATCGCACCCCTGGAGGTCGCTGACACAAGGATTCTACTGCATACCAGATGAGCGTTTATTCCACTGGATACCTGGGAATTCCATAACTGGAGAGGACACGGATGACTCTGGTGACCACAGTAGAGACGACCACCATTCCGGCAGGTCCCCTGATCCAGTGACCAGGAGTAGGTCATTTTACTCCAATGCGCTTTTATTTGCGCTATCTGGTTAGTGCATTCTACAGCCACATTTCCTACCACAGATGTCACAGATTTACGTCACTCCTGTGATAGATTGACTTTGACACCTTTATCACCATTTACACCTTCTTAACTATGAGAATGTTATAATATTGGTTGCTTAAGACTATTATGGTAGCTGCGTTTATATCGTTTATATCTCATTAAGTGGTCACTCCGTATCATGAGATAGATCCATTCACTCTAGCGCTGCATGTTTTTGTATATGATTTATTGTTGACACACAGGTCTCTCTCCTGCCAGCTTTGCCGACGATCACCGAGTACCAACTGGGAATCGGTGGCCAGGACCCGGTAATTGACATCTCCAGCTGCAAATTAGCAGAGCGGGTAGGGCGGCGCGCACGCCCCCTACCCGGGAATGCAAATCACGTATATATATGTGCTTTTCAACAGCTGTGCCGTCCTGTAACAGTATTTCTGCTATAGGGTGGATGGCAAGTGGTTAAGGAACCATACAGGACAATCCATTAAAAAGGTAGCCTGAAAGACAATTTCCCAATGTATTATAATGCCACAAAGTTACATGCTCAGTGTGAATGAGCCCTGCAATGTGCTAAGTGTGTATATTAGATACCAAGACCTGCATCTACTTCCAACTATGTGGATGTAAGTTCACCTACAATTGATAAAAAATATACTTAGTTACAGGTTAAAAACTGGATGCATCATTCCATGGACTCTTTTACCTATTGGTGGCTGTAATATATTGTTGTAATTTAACCACTTGCCCTCCTGAGGATTTACCCCAGGCCAATTTTTGCATTACAGCGCTGAGTTACTTTAACTGACAATTGAACAGTCATGCAATGCTGCACCCAAATTAAATTTATGTCCTTTTTTTCCCCACAAATTGAGCTTTCTTTCGGTGGTATTTAATCGCCTGTGCGGTTTTTAATTTTTTGCACTATAAGCAAAAAAAGACCGACAATTTTGAGAAAAAAAATTATATTTTGGACTTTTTGCTATTAACCTCCTTGGCGGTATTCCCGAGTGTAGCTCGGGGTAACATTTCAGTACCAAGAGCGGTAACCCCGAGCTACACTCGGGAATACCATGCGGCGCTGCTTCGGCATTTGTTCTTCACTTACCTTACCCTGCACTCCCAGGATGTGTCCCCTGCAGCGTCCCCGGCCATCTCCTTCGGCGGATGCCGGCATCCGGCTTCTGTGTCCTGTCCCTGTGACGTCGGGACGTACGGGCGCCGCCGGCGGCGGGAAATTTAAAAATTTTAAAAAATGTCTTTTTTTTTTTTTTTTACATTTTACATAGTAAAACATTGCTGTCTCAACCAATTTCACATACATTTTGTCCCTAGTGCTTTGTCCTGTGCCCTGCCTGCATTTTGTCTGTTCTTTCTGCCTGGAAACTGAGAAACGTCCATGGCGTCCAAAAAGTGTCCCTTTAGGTCAAAAGCGGTTTTAGACCAGCTAGAGAACAGCGATAGTAAATCAGAACCACTTGCAGAATTGAGTGATAATGATTCGTGGGGGAAATTCCTCATCAGACACTGAAAACGATTTTGCGACTTTGCTCAGCGATGAGCGAACTTGGCGCTATATTTCAAATTTCAGTGTTTTTGGTTTGATTACATTATTGAATTAAATGTATTATTATTATATTATTATTTTTTATGATTATTTATTAAATTATAATTTATGATTTTGTGTTTCAAATTTTATCCTACCCGGGATGTTTACTAGACTCTTGTT